TGCAGAGTACACTAGCATGAAGCGTAAACCCTAAACCCTAAGCTGCCGTACCAGGAACCTCGCCTAGACATGTTCGAGAGTGAGTGCTGAAACTGTAGGCAGTTGGGGCAGGCAGATATTGCGGTCGATGTTTGGGTAGCGACTGCACTCGAGTATTCTTGGGCGTCTTCTCTCGGGGGCAGTTGAACACAGACGAACCATCTAAGATGCATCTTCCTTTTAGGCTATGCAGAGAGGTGGTCTATCCACACTCCTTTGAATCTCCTGCTCGCTCTTGCGAGGATGTGAGATGCGCCTACCACATCGTGGACCTCACAGTCTGCAGAGGTCAAAAAGAGCTGCTGATCTGTGCTTGCGAGAGCAGCTTAGCGAAAGGAACGCGGATTGCTTCGGCGATTCGGTGATGTAGCACCACACCCTCGAGATTCTTGCCGGCCTCATCAGAAGTTTTGTTTCCAATCCAGGTGCCAAAGATGTGCCTCCCTGGCCGATGCCGAGCCGGTGTCAGCTGCTCTTCGCCCCTTGGCTTGTCTTTGAAAGGCGTGCAGGCAGTGCAGGGCAGTTGGCTCCATGAGTCTGTCGCTGTTGGCACTCCAGGGCGGCGGCGGCACTTCTGGCGCCGGGAGCACAGAATCTTAGAAGGCCCTTTTTCTCCTCTTAGGAACCACGTCACGATGCCGGGCCCAGCTCATGTGAATGAGGTTGCAAACGTCCGGCTTTTCTGCTGCGGCGGGGTGCTCGGGACAACTCCTGCAAAGACCTGGGCAAACGCACAGCAATCCCCGACTCAGCAAGAGCCAAGACGCATCCCCCACACCACGCGACACAGAGTTGTCGGAACCCAGACTTGCAAAGTCTTCATGGGGCTTTAGCTTGTCTCAGGGATCTGGAAGCTCCTCGCTGCAATCCACAAGTGACGACACGCCACGAAAGCTAAATCCAATTGAGGTTCATCCGTCTTGTAAGGACGAGGTTCAGTCGCGGATCCCGAAGATCAGCTGGCGCAGGTTCGGGCAAAGCGTCGAGCAGCTTGCGCCTCTCGTGGCCTTCTTTCGGAGGATCCGCCAGCAACTAGTGTCAAATGGTGCTTGGGATGTTCTTCGGCTATTTTCGTGGGTTCAAATCTCTACACAATGACAGTCCACATGTTGTGGCTTGGAATGCGAACTGCTTCTGCCTGGCTTCGTGAGGACTCGGGTCCATGGTTTCGGCTTTTGTGATACTTGGATTTCACCAAGGTCACCCATGTCAGCACATTAATGTTGAGTTCCAGGCTTGTTTCGGACGTCTTCCTAGTGACCATGGACATTGGCTTCAGAGTGGTCCCTTCCCCTGCAGGACGTGTCCAGAGACCACTTTCCACCTGATCGTAACATTCTTGTGATGCCTGCCGAAAAAATCAGTCCGTTTTGTGGAGCCCGGTCGTGACCATGTAGGTGGACCAGAGGGCCGCGACAGCTATCGGAGTTTCGGTCTGTAGAAACGAGCCTTCGAGGGGAGCTGGAGTTTCAGCAGCAGATTGCACTGGCAGGGTGCGCATGTTGCGAGCTTCCTTGATCGTTTAGTTTGACCCGGAAGCGCTGAAGATTACACAATCGAGATTTCACAGTGTCAGCTTGCCTCATGTTTGGTTTCTCGCAGCAGCTTTCGACACTGGGTCCGGACGGAAACTCAGATGATACTTGCTTAACTCATGACATGATGGCATGGTAGTTTCAGGGTTTGAGATTTGGCTCCAAAATTACAGCTCTTGGTCGCACTCGGCATTGGGTTTTCTGCACGAGAGCCGAGATTAGCGGTGCTTGAGCCTAAGAGGGTTTCGTTATCTTACTTTGAGTCGTTTTGTCTGAGAGATTACTTGAACATGTTGATAGACCGGCTAAAGTTTGCATCGAAATTCAACACGTACATCGAGCTCTCCTTTTTCATATGATCCTCATCACGCTCGCCGTGGCCCGAGTCTGCTAGACCACTTCATGCAAAGCCAGTCATTGGGATTCGGCTGCACGCGAGCTTGTGATGGCATTCAGATGCATTAAGCACAGGCATCAAACCCAAGCTTACGCCACACGTCTAGCAGGCGAGCTTGTGATGGCAATGAAATGCATTAGTCACAGGCCACAGGCATCAAACCTAAGCTTACACCGCAAGTCTAGAGGACGCAGAAGGCGCACCGCTTGATGGTGATGAAGTCGTTGTGTAGGTCAGGAGTAGCAAGCTGACGGCAATTGATGTCAACAGCAGGCTCGGCAGATGCCGAAACAAGCATCACCAATATTACTGCAATTGCAAGTTTACACTGCCAAAAGAAACGACATAAACAAAGCGCGCCTCTCACAGCAACCTTATCCAACCACTCTGACGTCACTTTTCAACACCGTTTCGCCTTTTAACCGCTGACCTGTTGTCTGGCCATGGAAGATGGCCGTGCCTTGGCTTGCACATCTGCTCTGGGACTGCGGACAGTCGGGGCGTGTAGCCATGGTGGCAGGACTATGATTCGGCGTTCTGTTTCGAGAAGACAAAGGAAACATGCTAGCGAAGGTCGGAGCTTGACACTACAGGTTGAAGCACAACTTGTGCCGCTTTCAGAAGGTATCCTTACCAAGTGATGTCGCAGCTTGTGGGACTCACAAGCGGGGCATGTCACGCCTTTCTGCCCTTGCGGCCGGGCATCATCGGGCACAGCACAGGCCCTAACATCTCGCCATCGAACACAGCAAGCACAATCCGTAGGCGTAGGTGCTCATGGAGGAGGCTTGCGTGAGGTCTTGTTGCACACGAATTATCTACGAACGATGTAGCAGTAACATGTTGCAGCCTGCTTTGCCAAGGCAATGTTGCCAGGAATCCGGCGAGCGAAGAAGAGAAGACGCTGCTTGGCCAAAAGAGGTGTCGCTTGCAAGTTCTGATCAGCTGTCAGCTGCATGTAAGGATTCTTCGCAACTTCGTGGCGAGGGATGCAACGCCAGAGGACGGTGGCGAGTCTGGAGCACAAACCCATGGGCCACAGACACTAGAACCCTGAATGTCAGATTCTACATAGAACTTCGTTTATTCTGAGGGCTGTCTGCATGTATGCAGCATGCACGTGTGCATGTGTGTGTGTGTGTGCGTGTGCATGTATGCATGTATGTATGTCTCTTTGCCTGTGTGCATGCATGTTTATGTTTGTTCGCAGATATGTTTGTGTGTGTGTGTATGCTTGCCGGCGCGCACACACACACATACATACATACATACATACATACATATACACATATACATACATACCTACACATACAAACACACAGACACACATATACGCACATACATACGTACATACATGCATGCATGCATGCATGCGTACACACATGCATACATACGTACACGTACGTACATACGTACGTACATGCATGCATGCATGCATACAGACATACCCACACGCACATACATACACGCATACCTGCCTACCTGCCTACCTGCCTACCTACCTACCAACCTACCTACCTACCTACCTACCTACATACATGCATACCTATATATGTAGATCGATAGGTAGACAGGCAGATACTTACATGCATGCATACATGCACACACGCACACACACGCGCACACACGCACACATTCATACATACATACATACATACATACATACATACATACATCATACATATAATAATATAGATATATATATATATATATGCTTCCCCCCCCTCCAAAGATCTACCCGATTTGGCTTTCGTCGGAAAGAATCCCCTTAAATTTGACTCCATTAGTCCGAAAGAACCCTTCTATTCCACAGCATTGCCTGAGAGCCTTTGGTCCCCACACCACCTAGAATACCATGTATATGCAGTCTGCGTAAACCCTTATATACGTCTCTATGCATATATTAAGCGGGTGATGGACTTAAAGCATAAACTTACAGGGCGAGGAATACACGAATACAAACAAGCACGAGTAGACTTGTGAAACAAAAACCAACGACACTGTGCTGTCT